ATATATATATATATATATATATATATATATATATATATATATATATATATCAGTTATATCTTTGTCAGTTAATGTGCCACAAATGCAAATTTGTTGAACTTACGTGAAAAGTAATATATAACATATGTATATTATATAACACAAATATTAAAAATATATGTATATACATATATCATATATACTCAAAGATACACGCATATCAAGTCATTGCCACAAGGCGTGCTTGACTTATGCATTAAAGAGAGAAACAGCAAACAGCAAAGACGCATTGCTATCGCAGCAACTGATAAGCGATAAGAACTGGAACTGACAACAGATAAGATTTGCCCGCGCCCAAAGCCCGGCAGCTGGCTATATAAAGATGCTGTGGATAAACAGTTAGTTAGTTAAAACATTCCGAGTCGGGACTCGCAATTAGTTATAGCCAAACAGCTTTGAGGCATCGAGCTCAATTTATGGTTACGAAACAGCAGCAACCACATTGACAACGGCAACAAAAACAAAAGTAAGAACAACAACAGGTTGGATAAATACATTCAACTTTGCATACTAAGTACCTCATTAGGGGGCACGTTGAAGAGCCACACACATCGATCAAATGGCATGAGCATTGAAATGGGCCCCCAGTCCAGGCCGAAAGATCCATAAAGAAAAAACGAGCCGTTTTATAAGCCATATACGAAGCGAAGGCAGCGTAAACAAAATAGAATTTTTTGCACTTTGCTGTTGCATTTTGATTGTATAATTAATCGGGTTTGCTTTTTGTTTTTTTGTTTGTTTTTTGTTTTTTATTTGTACATTTGTAGATGCTAATGCCTCTGAGTCACAGGCCTTTGCATTCCAATGTCGTTTGAAATATTGAATTAAGGGGTATCTCAGAATGAAGACAGCAATACAATTACTTATCTCGAACTATAGGGTATGTCGAGTACTGCTGCGTTCCAGACACTAGTTTACGGGGTATTTAAGCAATATACATTTATTTAGAATGAAAAGGGGCCTATAAATGATGCAAAATTCGCGTCTTTAGCTTTCCGCCCAATTCTGTTGGAATGGAAATTCAGTCAGATTCTGAAAATTTGGCTGGGTATCTGCCCGCGTAGGCAATTTCATTGAAACACCCTTGTGTTTTGTTTTGCTTTCATTTGTTTGTTTGCCCTGCGTGCCGAGTTCACGCAGTGCGCTGACGTCAAAATCCATATAGTCGCTAAAAGTATATATATGTTTCTATTCTACAGCGCCTAGCCATAGCCTACGATAACTGCGACAGTTTGGCCGACTATTTGAGCCTGCAAAGAGGAGTCGCTCAGGCCCGACTCGTGGAGCCATCGATGCCCACGACACAGCAGCACACGTCGCTGCTCAAGTTCTTGGCCATTGTAAGTACCAGTTCGTTAGGCAGGGGATTGAGGTGGGCTTACATACGTATGTATGTGCGGTGGTATGAACGTTTATGATAATCGCCGATGATAAAAGCAAATACACTTCCTGCTTGCAACCTCAGACAATAAGCGAACAATTGTTGCCCGCTTCTTTCTGCATTAATTTCGCGTTACAAAAATATAAACAAAAAGTATTTAAGTATGATAAAATATTGTTTGTTTTGTTTTCTTTGATATATAGAAGAGAAATGTGAATGATTGAAACCAGTTTTGTGAGAAACAAAATCAAAATCAAAAGCAAAAAGCAAAAAGCAAAAAATAACCACAGAGCTCATCTTCAATTTCTTAGGCTCTGTCGCTGGGGCGAGATATCACGACAAGTGTGAAATGAATTTGTACTCTTTCATATTTTCTGTCTTATTTAATGAGTTTCCTTTCGCGTTATCAGAAGGTTTTTGCTCCCTTGTGCCACGATTGGGCATATGAACTCCGAAATTCTGTTTGGCATCGGCTATAATCGATTTCAATCAATTGTATGTAATATCCGCAAATTATAAATTATTCGTAATTATTATACGAATATTGAGTGTCTAAAGAGTAGTGATAATACACTCTGGGATTTTAGCATTTGCACTGAATTTAAGTGGGTTTCCAATTGGGAGTAATGTGGGCTTCATTCAATTACAGCTCCGTGTTCTTTTATAACTTGGGTTTTATTTACATCTGTACTTTCTATGAGATTATTTCTGTCTCTGGCAATTTCACAATCTTATTTTCGGCTCATTATCGCAAGTTGTTTGGGGTATTATGCCTCGGCATTTGTGTTAAGATACCAAATTTTAATGACATGGACTCGACACTATAAAATGATATCAAAATAAAATCAGTATAAAAGCATAATCTTAGTACGAACAAAAGAATAATATTTCTCCCTTCTTGATTCTTGAATTGAATTTGCTCTATTGCCCTTTACCTTATCTTTTTCCTATTGGAACTGTTCTATTGATCTTTCCACTCTATGCATCTATGCCTCTCGCTCTATTTTCACGTCATCGCCATTACTCCTTCGATCAGTCTTTTCTACTTGGCTATCTTTCTCTATTTCCACATCCACAAGATATAGAGTAAATATCTTTCTTACTCTCCCTCTCTTTATCACACACACTCATATTCACTAACTATCTCTTTTTTAATATTTTCAACATATGTTGGTATAGACCTATTTAAAGGGGATTTTCCAACACTTTATATATAAAGCTAAATACAATTTCCCTTCTCATTTGTATTCTTTCTAGAACGCATTGGAACTGAGTGCCCCTGCCACACCCTTGCTGCTGGAACAGCAACAGACGCAATCCAAGCCACACGGCTGGATGCAGCTTTCCGGTCATCCTGAGAGGTAAGCAGCAAAACTAAACTCGTCCTTTCAGAGCAGAGCTTAACAAACGTCTGTCTTCCTTTCATTTCAATTTAGCATCGTGCCTACCTCGTCGGGCATTGTGCGCAAGAGGATCGCTGGCATCGAAGACAGCGAGGTGTTGGCCTATCAGCAAATCTCGCAGGAGCCGAAGACCTCACAGATTGTGCCCGCCTACTTTGGATTGCGGGAGCTGCAGGGACAGCATTATATCGAGCTGCAGGATCTGCTAGCGGGCTTCAAGGATCCGTGTGTGATGGACATCAAGCTTGGTAGTCGCACCTTTCTCGAATCAGAGGTCAGCAATCAGACGTTGCGTCCGGATTTGTATCAGAAAATGATTGCCGTGGACGCCAGTGCACCGACGCCTGCAGAGCACGAGGCTCAGGCGGTTACTAAGCTACGCTACATGCTCTTCCGCGAGTCGTTGTCCTCGTCGCACACCAAAGGATTCCGAATTGAGGCGCTGCGCCTGCGTGGACGTGCACCTCTAAAGGATCTCAAGACGTGCCGCAGTAGCGAGCAAATCTCACAGACTATCGAGCAGTTCCTTGCCGCACGCAGATCCGTGCAGAAGGAACTGCTCAAGCGGTTGAAGCACATGCGCCTGGTCATCGAGCAGTCGGCGTTCTTCAATCGCCATGAAATAATTGGCTCTAGTTTGTTCATCGTCTACGACGACCATCGGATGGGCGCTTGGCTCATTGACTTTGCCAAGTCCCGGCAGCTGCCACCACACCTGTGCGTCAATCATCGCAGTCCCTGGCAGCCAGGCAACCGGGAGGAGGGTCTGCTCCATGGCATGGACGAGCTGATCCACGCCTTCGAGGAGGTGTATGCGCGCAGCAGTAGTCATCGCAGCTGCTTGAAAATCTGAGCAACAGGCTCCCAGTTTCAGCGTGCACCAATTGCTACGCATTTGCCCACAGCCACGCCCACCTATAGGCACATAAGACTGATTTGCACGTCGCCCAAAAAGAGGAGAGGAGTACGAAGAGCAGAAGGCCTTCATTGCATGCGACGCATTTTAACTATTTTCCATATTGGAAGCAAAACATAAGCGCCAGATCTATCTATACATCATATATACATACATATATATGTATATAGAGAGAACGATTAGTATTGAGCACCAAGCAGCATTTTGTTTGATTGAAAAACAGGTTTAACTTGATTAAGTATTTAAGTTTAAGAGAGCAGGAGAGAGAAAAAATGTAATCACTGCAATAAAAGAAAATCTCGAGAGAAAAAAAGATACAATATCAAATATAAAATTCAAGTCGCCTTTTACTATGTATAATACATAATATATATGTTACTAATTATTTATTTGGGCTTTTACATTCATTAATCACTGTTTTTCCAGAAGCCGGATGCTTGCTTTGATATTACCTATAATTATTCCACTCTGATTCTATTTACTTAATCTACTCACCTTCATTTATATTATATCATTTCTTCACGAAAGTGAAATGAGTATATAGGTTTTGTGTATGTCCGTCTTGCTGTCCGTCCGTCTGTCCTTATGAACGAAAGTGTTAATACTTTCCCTATCCGCTCACTGAGGCGTGGCAAATCGGAAAATTGGTTGATGAGATAGAAAGATAGAGTTTGTAAGCTAGAACGCTGAAATTATGCTAATATTATTATTCTGTAAAGACTGATAATGAAATATGTGCTTACGCCTACTAGGGGCGTGGAAAATCGGGAATACTGAAACTTTGCTACTAAGAAGATTATATATACTTACTTACCGATTGTTATTAAGCCCATTGTTCAATGTGGAAACTTATCTAGGGATCAGTCCTTTTCTTTCGGTCAAAAGTCTCTAGTACTTGAAATACGTTTTTTATAAATTGTGGGCGAAAGGGGCGTGGTATCCAACATCAGTAAATTACAAAATGTAATTACACAGTAAATCTGAAGTCTCCAGGTCTAATAGTATTCAAATGAGGCTAAAAAACAAAATCGATTTTTCGATTATTCTCGATAAAAAAGTTATCGGTAGTTTTTGTATATTCTGAGATCGACGAACACATACGGACTGACGGACAGGGATATAACAACTCAGGTCGTCATCCAGATCAAGAATATATATCCCTTATGGGGTATGCGATGATTTCTTCTGTTAGTTACATACTTTGTACAAACCCATTATACCCGGGTTTCCCATTTTCAATGGGTTCAGGGTATACAAATATTTTCCAAATTTTAGCACAATGCGGAACTAAAATTTATTTTCTTAAATATCATTACGAGCACTGAATTATTAAAAGCCCGTTGATTGTTACGTGCTTCTAAACACTAAACACTAACCATAGAAAACGTGGTTAGTAGTTGAATCAATCAAATATTGAAATCTACAGGGTTATATCATATAATATATTTCCAAATTAGATTTTTTTTTACAAATTTAAAAAAGAAGTGGAATTAATGGACTTACAAAACTAAATTTTAAAATAAGTTGTTGCTTTTTCGATTGTTTTACATGTTTATATACTGCAACTGATTGCTCAAGCTGGAAAACTACATGGTGCATATAAAATGATCCGGATCGATGCTGGAATAAATGTGTCCCTCGGATATCATGAAGTCCAAAATGTTGCTATAGGAGAAGATGAATATATAAATAATATATAGAATATGGGATTAAAAAGTTAATCCGACACTCACTTTAGTTCAGTTTGACTTATATGCGAGAACTTGGCTTTGAGTTCACGTCGATTGATGCCTTCTTCGGAGCAGTTGCTTTTGATGGCCTGGAAGACTGCCAGCTGCTTGCTGTCCAGGCCAGCGACAATAGCATTGCTCTGGCTAGCTGACACACTGTTCATGGTAGAGTTGCTTGGAGCATGTGATGAATTGCCCTTAACATGATATTCTTCGGCTTTATAGCGGGAGTGCAGAGCCTCCAGTACGTGGGTGCACACTTCATTGGGATCCAGCACGTTAATCAGCTTGAAGACCATCAAAACCTTTTGACCCGCCTGCGGGCGTACTGAGCCATAGATTTTTACATAGTTATTGATCATGACATCTGGAGCTTTGATTGCATCGCCTTCTTCTAGCCAGTAGTGTGCCTCGATGCGACCACTGTGGTCCTCCAAGGTGTAGGTAATCTTCGTCGAAGATGTCTCCACATTCCTCACAATGCCCACAACACAGACCAAGGCGTAGGTAACATCAAACATCTTGAAGTTGCCCTCGGGCGAATCGAGTATTTGTTTCACCAGCAATGAAATAATGCCCTGAACAGCACAAGATTCAGTACATCTGTGTATCTTAAATTAAACCAAAACAATGAACTCACCTCGCCGGAAGACTCTTTTGTGGCCCCCGCTGTGGCCGTTTGTGTGCCGTTGAAATCACCAACTAGCCAAATAAAGCAAATTAAAATATATATATATAGTAATTATTCCGAGCAACAACTTACACGAATCATTCATTTTGTTAAATGCGTCTGTAACGTTTAGAAGACAGAAAATCCCTGCGCCGCGCAAGCAACAAAACGCGCCAAATAGTTATGGAAGGCTGACACACGTTACGACTGGTTGGACATACATACGATAGTAACGATTTGCGGTATAACTTATAAATACCTTCTTACATGGGGATACAAAATCAAATATTCTATTTCCAATTTCAATTTATTTCATTGTCCGTGATATCTACAGATTTGCTACAATAATTTAAGAGTTTAGACTACGAACTAAGAACCATTTATGGTTAGATATTTCCTCACATGTGGGAAAAACAAAGAAACAAAAAACCTCAAAATATACCAAACTTATTGCTTAGTATATCGTATATGGTATAAGCGATGAATAGCAATAGTTATGAGTATTTATTGGCGCCGAGCTGCCAACTTTGTCCAGACATTTAAATTCTCATCTGATTAAGCGGACTGTCATACCTGAGAGTGGATGTGTCGTGTATCGTGACATCTGTTTCTAAATTCATGCAAATGAGACGTAATGAAATTTGTATTCTGAATTTGTGTACATAAAATGAACACGTTGCGTCCTTGCGGCTGCAAAGGAGTTCGGACCTGTCTAACTTGTGAGCAGAACTTCAAAATCGAAAAACCTTCCGTCCAGCAGCAGTTACAACAGCTTGAATCCTGGTCCTATTGCACAAAATGCGAAGCTTTTTATCCCGGCTGGGATACGCAGGCTGTGCAGGCAGGCCATACAGATCATAATTTACCAGACAGCTTGACACTGCCTGGCATATACGTGCAGGAGCAGTTTCTGTCAGGTGCCGAAGGAAAGCAGCTCATATCGGATCTGGATGACTTGCCTTGGGATATTTCCCAGAGTGGGCGACGCAAACAGAACTATGGTCCGAAAACCAATTTTAAAAAACGTCGCCTGCAACTGGGCTCCTTTCAGGGATTCCCAGCTGCCACACGCTATGTGCAGCAGCGTTTCGAGTCAGTTGCATTGCTGCGTGACTTTCAAACCATCGAGCAATGCTCGCTGGAGTATGAACCCAGCAAGGGGGCCAGCATAGATCCCCACGTAGACGATTGCTGGATATGGGGCGAGCGGGTGGTCACAGTCAATTGCCTCGGAGATGCAGTGCTCACCCTAAATCCCTACGATCAGAAGCTGGCTGGCAAATATAATTTGGACTTGGTGCCGGAGTACGAAAATCATCTGCTAGAGCCGCTTTTAACGCAGGAACAGCTGGCTGCCTATAAGGGCAAGGTGCTACGCATTCCCATGAATAAGTGAGTGGCTATTCATATATCCTATATCTGTGCATAAATGTAAGCTTTACAGATCAGATCTGATTTAGTTGAGTGTATAGGCCTAAATTGTATGTATATTTACAAGTTAAGCTGCGAGCATGGTTGTAGATTTGACTAGAATATATTATTATTATAAAATGCAAAAGAGAATGCTTAGTCAATTAAACTTCTCCGCTATCTTATTTTCTTCTTACAGCCTCTCCTTAATCGTGCTTTATGGACCTGCTCGATATCAATTCGAGCACTCGGTTTTGCGAGAGGACGTGACCGAGCGCAGGGTTTGCATTGCCTATCGGGAGTTCACGCCCATGTATATCGATGGCGTGGATAAGGAGAAAGGTCAGTTGGTAAGAGATAATGTGAACTGGACAATTAAAAGTAATTGAACTTTAAACCAAAGTCGAGATTTATTTATCTTCATCGATGCTGAGTTCAGTTAGCTTCTGTTGTTGCGCTGGTCGATAGTCGAGCAGGGCAACCTGGGCGGGCAGCTGGACACCGTGCATCCGTTTTAGATGTGCACGCAAATTGCTACTGGTGCTGAAGCTATTCAAGCAAACAACACATTGGTGGCTATTCGCATGCTTGGCGCGAATGTGGGCATTCAGGTCTTTCACCTTGACAAACGCTGTTGTGCAATATTTGCACACATGCGACCGTCTCACGTGGGTCTTAAGGAACTGCTGCGAGGCATATGCTAATGGGCAATATTTGCACTTGTATATGGCCTGACTGCCACTTGGTTCGGTATCCAACAGACGGTTCGTCTCATTGTACTCGTCTAGATTATCGTGCTTAAGCTCTACGGCTGCATAGTCAAGCGTGCGCAGCTCGTAGCTGGAGAAGGGGATAAACTGCTCCGATACGCTATCGTGTTGTTGAACATCTAGCTCAGTAGCGGGCAAAAATTCGGATACAATCAACGAATCCTCGTTGGCCAAGCGCTGAGACGGACGTCGCTCCAATAGAAGATGCTGCTCTAACTCTTGCACTGGCTCCTGTTCCTGCAGCTTCTGTGGTTCTATTTCCAGATCCTGTTCAAGTCCATGCTCATGCGGATTATGTTCCTCTTCCATCAGCTGCATATACTCCTCCTCCTCTGTCTCCAACTCCAATTGCTCCTTTTCCATTTGTGCCTCGTTGTAGAGCTGTCGCAGCTGTCGGTTAGCAATCATCAGTTTGCTAAAGTATGCAAAATGAGCCAAGCTTTCCTCGAGGCATGCTTTGCAGATCATGGGTAGCTCAGTGCATAGATCCAGCGAGATGTGCTTCAGGTTTAAAATAAAATAATGAATATTATTTTATGCATGTTTATCTCCTTTTGGCCATGTGCAACCTACAAACATAGCCTCCATTATTTCACATATTGTGTGCTCCTCATCTTCGGATTCCGCTTCGTTTGTTTGACCCGCTGCTACAACTTTATGCTGGGTTATGTCTACATCCGCATTATCCACAAAGCAAATGCGGCACAATTTGCGTAGATCTATGTTCATTCCTCTTACTTTTATAACAACAATTTATAATTATTGATTCTCGTGGCAATGAAAACAAATTATTTGTCGGGCTATGTCTAATCAGCTGTTTGACCAGGGCTGCAAAAACTATATGTGCTGTCAACGCATAAGGGATACTCTTAGCATTCCTGTGATTCAGTTCTGTTAAATAACATTTGATGTAGATATAAAATGCTGTTATACAGTTTTTAATCTGCTATTGCCTACACACTAAAACGTTTATGCGATTTCCCAAATAAATATCAACGAAATTTGTTTCTCTTTTCAAAATAAATTTTATTCAGTTTTTTCTTACTTCTGTTTTTTTTTTTTTTGTATGTTTTGTCGCAATCATTTCTCTCGATTTGTTTAAAGTTAATTTACTATTTAAATCATTTAATTCCGTTACTGCTTACAATTAATTATTATCGTCAATGTGACGAAAGTTATTTGTCTGTCAATAATTCTTATCGACAACAGACTTTTTATTTTGGTTTTACTAATTTTTTTGTTTGTTTTTTTTTTGTTTTGGCTTTTAATTCTTATTTTTACATGCATAACTTGGGTTCTTCAATTTGCGGTAACGATTTATATATAATTATGCAATTAACTATTTAAATTGAATTTGTAGTGTTTTGGTGTTTGGGATATTATTAAAGTGTTTTTTATTTGATTTGTTTACTGATAGGCGTTGGGATTTTTATAACGGTTTCTGTTTGGTGAGTTTTAGTGCATAACATTTGCATTAGCCGGGCTTTTTACTTGAAATTTAAATGCTAATTTATAAGTATACATTTCGTGTCAAATGTAAATGTAGACCGATTCTTTGGGACTTTAGTTCTTAATATATTTAAGTTTAAGTTTTTAGATGCATAGATATGCAACAAAATGTAATTGCAATAAAAAAGTAAAACTGAATTTTTGAATTTTTTCGAGCTGCATTTTATTTAGAATAGGACGAATGTGTGTGTGTGTGTCTTATGGGTAATTGTGTGTGTGAGTGTGGGTGTGCCAACTTTTTTGTTTTTTATGTAGTCGAAGCATTTAGTCTAACTCTCTGATCAGAATTATTAATAAGTAGAGTTTTTGCTTTGTTTTTCTTTTCTTATCTTTTTAACGTATAGCAAATGATAACAGTTTGTTCATATTGTTACTTTTAACTACATTTTGCTGTGTGAAATCTGTTTTTGTCAGTTATTTTATTAACGTATTACTTTTTTTTGTAATATTAAATTCGTTTTTTGTTTTTCTTTAAAGTTAGCCCTCTCCTAATGTAGGACGCTTATTTTATGGTTTATGTTCATATTTTTTATTTTTATTTTTATTTTTTATTTTTGTATTCTTTGTTTGCCTAGTTAATGCTATAGTATTATACATACATGTAGACTTCAATCTTTTAAAGAGTGTAGAAAATGATTTTTGCTTTTTTAAAATAGCTTCTTTTTATCAAAAAGACATACATATATATAGAGTTATATTATATATATATATATATAGATAGATAGTAGTTCTAATTATGCGCCTAGTTGCTCGAAGCTAAGCACTAACTGAATTCATTATATATAAAAAAAATTATTTTTATTTCCAATTGAATTACATTGCTAATTGCGCGAATCACAAAAGGAAAGGGTCTTCAAAACGTCAAATAAGTAGAACCTAATTTTTTTGCATTGTTTCATCGTTCGCTAAACAACCTCAAAGGGACAGAACAGTTAGTCAGGAGTACACTATATCAAACGAAAACAATAAAACGACTGCCCTTTTGTACATTAATATTTATATATATATATATATAACCTTCAGATCTAAAGTTCAGCTCACACTTCAGAGTGTGTGTGGATGCGTGTGGGTGTGTATGTGAACGTGTGGGTATCATGGATTAATAAGAATGCTTGTTCCGTTCTGCAGTCGACAGGCTTGAAAGGCTCATGTGTGGGTACACACTACAAAGTGTTAGGGTTGGTTGGATACGATCGCTCGGGAATCAGTATACCTTTTAGGATTGAAAAAACTATCAAAAGTGGAATATGAATGTTTGTGTATATATCAGATAAAAGCAGGCTATAGTTAAGATCATTGAAGCGATCGAAATAAGTAAGCAAATCGGAGATTACTACATTCCTGATTATGTTATCACAATTGAAAATATATCAGAATGGAGCTTTGATGTCGTTTAGTTGGGTGCCTTCGACTCTGTGAGAGAACTAGCTGTAGCAGTCGGGTGGGTTCAACATAAGCACTGGTCGGATATATAGCGAGTATGTGCGAGTTCATACGGCAGTGTTTACGAGACATATGCTTGAACATGTGTAACAAGGAGGTAGGTTTTTTTGCTTTAAATATAATTTAGTAGTAGTGTGTAGAAAAGGTTTTCTTATAGGTGGGTCTTTGAAAAGTTACAATCTGGGAGCGTATTTCGTTTATACCGTAAATATCACTGTTTCGCTTGAAAGTTAAAAAAAAAAAAAAAGTTTTCGGCTAGGGCATGTGGAGAAAAATCAATATAATTACGAAAATTTCCAACTAAATTGTTTTGTAGTTGCAGTGGTCATTGCTTGGTTGTGATTTCTTTCCTTTTAGGGAATCGTTTGCAGTTGTTGTTTCTGTTTTATTAAAAATATATATGTATACGAGTTATGCGGTGATATATGTGTCATAAAATATATATACACCTGCCTTTATTAATTTATATATAAATTTACTGCTCATTTCTTTCGTATTGCTAGATTTTGTTTTCGTCTGTGTTTTATTTGACTAATTTTCGTGTTTTGCATTTAATTGGTGACTATAACGTGTGTGTGTATTTGTTTTTCTTTTGTTTGCTTTTGCTTATTAGTTTTACTATTTTCTCAATTGGCTACAACATGTCAACAATAAATTTTCTAAAAACAGCGTTTATTCAGTGAACATATTCTCAAAGTATTTGATCCGTTTGAATTTTCATATATATTTCAGTATTTTTGTTCTTGTTTTACTGTGTTATTTTTGTTTGTGTGTTATTTAACTATATGGTATTTTATCATAGAGATAAAATAGATATACTTATTATTATGTGTCGATTTGTTGCCACTTATGCCCCACATAAATGCTATCCTAACCACACACTTCGTAAAAATGCCTAAAAATTGAACTGAAATGAATTAAACTTGTGTTTTTCTGTCTTTAAAAGAAGAGAATTAAAAATATGTGAAACAGATACTTAAGTATATAAAATCAGGCATTTATTAAACTTAAACATGTTTTACAATATTACTAAAAATTGAAAATATGTTTTTCATATAACTTAATTTAAATCAAAGTGGAATATTGCCTAAGGAACCTAAAAGGTTTAGCCAAGAAATTATATCTTAGTTTGGTCCACAAGTTGAAAACTATTTCGAACAGATAAATAATTGAAGGAAAAAAGGATTCTGAAAGTCCATTTCAGAATATTTAACACTGTTTCCCTTTGTTTATATATATTACTCAATTAAGTCCTTGATAGTGTGAATGAGTGTGTGTGTGTGTGATTGTGTTTTAAATACATATCTAATGTCTCATAGGAACAATCTCTCTTATATACATACATATAATGTATTCACTTCTTCTCTCTGTGTATATTTGTTGTGTGTGTGTGCGTGTTTGTGTAGGCTCCCATACGTAATTTATAACAACTCAGCATAATTAACTTAGAAGTTTTTCACATACACATACACGTGTGTGTGTGCGAGCTTAATTGCAAAATCCTTTTCGTCCTTTTTCTTAGGTATTTTTATTGCTATTACTATGCAAGTGTTTTTGTTTTTGTTTCTTTTCTGGTAATTTTTAACCTAGACATTTAGCTTCTTCTTATATTTGTTTTATTTTTGTTGTACGGCAGTAATATTTGCTTTGTTTTATTCTCCTTTTTGTTTGTTTTTCCTTTAATTTTCATAAAATAATTCTTTTCCTTTGAATACACAACAATTGCTATGTGTATGTGTTTATGTGTGTGTGTTTGTTTTCCCTCTCTCTCGCATTTTCCCTCTTTTCCTTTTCTTATACTTTGACTTAAAAATGTAATTAACAATTTTTATTTTTATTATTATTATTATTTTCTTTTTTTGCTTTTTGCGAAGCAGTTTCTTTTTTTTTTTTTTTTTTGAAAATGAACTTAACTAGGCATCTACTTATGTATGTATATACTGTAGATGTATATGTTTGAATGTGTGTTTGCATGTGTTCGTGTGTGCGTATGTGTGTGTAGCTTAACGTGTCTAAATTGAGCGGCCTTATTGCACGATTATATGCGGAGCTGAGAGCAACACGGTTACCGTTGCAATAATCGTAAAGAGCGTAAAAACAATTAAACAAAATCTGTGAAGTAGAAGAAAGGCAAGAAGATTAACTGAGGTTACACAAAAGAGCATACGAAAATCATGTAGGATACTTACATATGCATATGTATCAAGAGTATATATTATACATACACAGTACATACCCAATCCCACATCTACATAACTTTTCCCATCTACGAAATAGCCGCAACAGCGACGCTTGTATATTAAAGCCACGTGTTGTGATTGTATGTGCTTAAGTGTGTGTGTATGTGTGTGTATATACCTAGATATACATATGTGCCTCGTATACGCTAGAGCAAATAACCGGAAGTTGTGTGGCCATGCGGCTGTTGCCTTAATTGTTTGATTTAGTAGAGCGTCAGGGAGTTCTTACTAACCGCAATGTTTGCAGTCACTGTGTTAGTTATTCACCAGATTTAAGCCTGGTCAGTGAGGTCAGATCGCATAGGTCTAATCACTCATTCTCACAAGGTCGTGCGTGAATATCAATGCAAATGAATAATCGACTATCTAGGTGAACTTTATTTAAATGTAACAGCTAATTCAAGGTATTGTTTTTGAATTGAAGTTAATTGATGAAGATGAGCGGCTATTTAAGATTTGCTGTGATTAATTTTTGTACCTAAATCAATTTTCTATATATGATTCGTCATAGTATATCTTAAAGTTAAGGCCCCGCTTTAAAGAAAAATAAGTTCCAAGTGCTCCAAGTTCCTAATCATTGGAGGCTAT